CGGACACAAAGACATGGTCATGAACAGTCTGTTGCAGATTTGGGGCTGGCATGAGTCTGGTCACACTTTATATTAAGGTTCGATTTATAATTAGGTTATTAAGAGTCAGTGATGATCAATAGCTCTTCTGATAAATGGTTTATCAATTGTTATTGTGCACAACAGTCAAAACATAACATCTTCTACTGATGTGCTCATCCATGCTACTCTTGACAGTGACATGCTTATAACATATTAACCCTTTATAAATCACTTCTAAGTGGAATCTTAATATAATGTGTGATTGAGAGTGAACTAAAGTGACCAGAGGTCAGGTGCCCATTGTGGTTTTATTTAGTTCAGTTTAGAACATGCCTGTGATGGGGGGTATAAATCCTGTGATGGGGGGTATAAACCAGCGATAGAGGGGTTATAGAGCTGCTGTGGGCAAGGCTGGCCCTGCCCCTCTGACCCTGTCCATCATATCAGGAATGGAATAAGGATATAAAAGCAGGCAGTTCCCAGTAGTTGCTGTGCAGCACAGAGAAAGACCAGATAGTGTCTCCACAGCTCCCAAGGAAGAATCCTGGAAGCCTTCAGGAGAACTGCTCTCAGGGAGGCCATTCACCAGCGCCCTCTCCCACTCTGTCCCCTGCCTACAAGGACACAATACCCAGGTATAGTGGCTGGGAGGACAGGTTTGCCAAGCCACAATGCTAGCTGTTAGACAGTTGGTACCACTACCCTCTACCCTGTTTGGGGTTAGGAAATCTGAGGCCATACTAAAGGGATTAGGGGAGTGGAAGGCAAGAGCCCCTCCCCTTCAAACCCAAGTGGACTATTTGACTTATTTGTATCACCGAGCCCCCTATTTGGGGAAATGGGGCAGGGGGAGAGAGGGTTTTTCAGTATCTGTACAATTCATCAGGATCCTGAGAATTGTGACAAAGCCACTATACCACATTCAAAAAGGTGTGCATCTGTTATCCTAAACTCCTTTGACAAAATTTAGAGACAATTCCATTAAAAGCCAGCAGTTATCCCACAATAAAACCTGCCCCTCTCTCCCCCCCTGCAAAAAAAAAAAAACCAAACAAACACCCCCCCCCCCCCAAACCAAAACTTTTCCCAACACTTCCCTGTTCATGGATCAGCTTTCTCACTCTCCAAACACCTTTATAAAATGTTAGGCCTTTATTGCATCAACAGCCATTTATTCTCTTAACTATGCGCTGTTGCCAATTTGCCAGTGAAAATCTGGGTTTGGGAGTAAGAACTCCTGGGTTTTATTCTGAATTCTGCCACTGACTTACTGTATGATTGGGGCAAGACGATTCAGGCCTAAAAGTGGGATTTTCAAGAGCTCTCAGTGTTAGCCCAACTCCTCTCCCAGCAATTAGGGCAACACTGAAAGATCCCAAATTAAAGGTCCAGCTTTTCTGTTTTTGTCAGAAAGTCTTGAGTCATGGAAACAGGAACTGTTTGCAGGAAAGGGTTGGTTTCCATAATCTCCCAAACTGAAAAAAAAAATGAAAAGAAAATGTTTTTGAAATTGTTGAAACATCTTGTTTTGACATTTTCTAAATGAAAAGTTTCATTTTCTGGTTCAGAAAGACCCCCCCTCACCCCTCCAATAATGTCACTTACACAACATCCTCTTCTCTGTAACCATGGCAGCAGCAGCAGCTGTTGCATTGTGTGACTATGACTTATGTAGCCTTTCTTAATGAAACAGAAGAATTTAATATTGGAAAAATATTTTTTAAAATGTAAAGTTTTTAAAATACGTTTGAAATAAATGAAATGACTTTGTACATGTTTACTGCCTTTTCTGTTTCTGTTATTATTTATTATAATAAATGGAGAGATGAAGGAAAAGATGAAACTGGAGAAGACTATGGGCACTGAGGAAAAGAGGCAATTGTGATTTTAAACACACTGTCAAACAACTTGGCTTTTAACGCTGCTTCTTTCTCTTCTCAATGATTCCCCACACCATTTATTATCTGGATGTCTGTCTGAAGATGGAAGTAAAAACAGGAGGCAGAACATTGCAATAGCTAACTGACGTGCCACTTTCTATTGTTGCTCATGCATGACATTTTAGGACTCTCACTCATGTTAACCCTTTAAAAACCACCTATTGTACTCCTTTAAAACCTGATTCTGCAAACTCTTACTCATATGAGTTGTCTTTACTCAAGCAGATAGTCCTCCTGTCTTCCACAGGTGACTTATTTGAGTAAGATTTGTAGGATGGACTATGATGTTACACAAACTACAGTAGAGTTGCACTTTTTACACAACATCTGAATTTGACCCCTGGTTTGGAAACAAGGACTAAGGACCTTATATCATTGCAAGCTTAGTACTTGGAAAGAAGGTCATTAGAATACAGCAGTATGCTGTAGCTAAGAGTGCACACTGGATTTTCCCATCTTTAAATAAAAGCAAAGATAGTTTTGAAGCTTGAGCCAAAGACAGAGTGTAATACCGTAGAAATAATAAAGCCACGCCACAAACAACTGTGCTAAAGTCCAACATTTAACAAAGCAAAAAGCCAAAAAATAAAATAAATAAATGTACCCAGAGAGAAGCGAAAGGGAAAAAAAGAAAAAGCATAGGGAAACAGACAGTGAACCACAAGATGGAGAAAAGTTACCATACTATAAGGTTTCAGTAACAAAGCCTAAAACAGGATGTTGCGGTCCAGAAAGCTAATATATTTGCAGTTACTCCTGACATCTTGTAATAGCCACTCAAAAGGTCATTGACAATGTGCAGTTAGAATGCAGGGCTCGCCTTAGAGGTGGGTAATCAGGGTAGTCACCAAATTGCTCAGCTGTTTTTTGTTTGTGTTTTGTTTTTACTCAGTGGGCACTAAAAACATTTTCCATCCTGAGGCCAAAACACAAAGGGCCAGTGTGAGGTCCCTGGAACAGATGTTTTAGAAATAGATCCAAATTGTGCATATTGAGTAATAATTTTGAACAATTATCTATTGTATATATTTTTGTTAATAAGAGAAATGGGGGTTGCACTTTTAAGAATGGGATGGGGGTACACTGAGTGAGCTAATTCAGAGTAGAGTGTTCAGTGTATGTAAAAAACAACAAGGAGTCCTTGTGGCACCTTACAGACTAACAAATGTATTTGAACATAAGCTTTCTTGGGCTAGAATCCACTTCATCAGATGCATGGAATGGAGGCTGGCCTGTAGCTGGGCACCGAGAAGGTCTCTATCTGCAAGAAGCTCTTAGAGCAGAAGTTTTGAGTTTCCAGAATAAACAGGGTTCTCTTTGAAAAGCTGAGCCTTGTGATTAAGAGTGCAACACCAGCTTTGGTGACACACTTCTCAAATGCTGGAGTGGCCTCAGACATAGTACAGGTTGATCGGTCCATTGCTGATATACAGGGCTGTGTGGGGAAAGATAACTACGTTTCCTGGAGAATTTCAATATGTTGAAATTTGATTTTTATTCCAGTTCAAAACAAAATCCCAACATTTCATAATTCTCTGTAAAAGGGAAAGCCTGAGGGTCCCCAGATCAGAGACCATCTGCATGGATAGCTGCCTTGAAGCTACAGACTCTGAGAACCCTGGCGTTCCTAGCGCCAGGATAGTTCAACTGGCTGGCTGACCCCAAGCTGTGGATCCTGTAAGTCCAGGGTCCTCAGCAGTGCAGCTGGTGAGCTGGCAGGAAAGAAGGCAGGTTTCCAAAGTTGTCTTGTTTCTAGACAAATTTAACTGAAATTGAACCATCTCTGCAGACTGTTTTGATTTCAATGAATTTGCAAATTCCAAAGACGATCTGTTTTGTCAACTTTTTTTTCTGACCAGCTCTACTGATATGCTCCCATGACTTTTCCCAGGGTAGTTTCCTCTTTCCGTCATCTGCCATTTCACCTGTCAGAAAAACAACCCAGTAAACCCCATCTTATAGAGAGGCATGTCAATCTTCCTATTTGCAGAGCAGGTATTGGGATGGAGCTTGTAGCTGTGGTCCACTTCTGAGGCCTCACACTGATTAGCTGAACCCGCGCCCCTCACCCACTTCAGATATCCACTTGGTGCTGTTGCCAGAAGTCAGGTTGCCCTTCTTTTTCAAAAATCCAAGTAGGATCATTCCTCAACCAGCCACCCAATGCACCAACAGATGGGGACTGTGTCACCTGATGACGTGCTGGATTATAGAGGAGCTCCTTGTTACATTTTTAACAGCCCATTATTGATTTAGTGCTACTGAAGGAATCTAGAATCTGAATTTCTAGAGTAAATTAATAGAGACAGTTTTAGTGGAGGCCTGATTTATCTGGGCAGAAACAAATCTGTTTACATTACAATGCCTACATATTGGCCACTGGAAGACATTTCCCCCCTTTAAATGAAAGCTTGAAATTTGCTGCATGTTGCATCATGCTACAGTACTTTGGAGAGACTAAAAAAGTATGAGCAACATTTTATTTTTCTGAACCAGCATTCCCCACCCCCCAAGTTTTCAATATTAACTGTCAGTTTATATATCACTCCTAAGTGCACACAGTATAAACCTCTTAAAATATAAGCAACAATGAAATCTAATTTTAAAAATGAAGGGATTATTTTATCTACTCCAGTTATTTAAAATAGGACATGTAATTGACAAGGCCCCAATTAAGCTATGTGCATCAGCATTTGACTAACTTCTAAATGACTGCTCGTGTGCTTAAGGTGAGCCGTGTACTTTCATACCTTTCTGAATCGGGGCCTAACTGATGTAGTTACAACACAATACTTTGCAAAATTTAGATGGACTTTAGGTTGATATTGTCAGATCAATTCATTTCATGTGCTGTATAATTTATGTTTAAATGAGAGCTTATTTTTGCTGTTATGCTTGGAAAATGTCTTTTAGGTAAATGTAGGGAAACAGAGTTAAATTACTTTGTTTTTCTTTTCTTCTTTTTTGAATGTAGAAGTTACTGTATTGTGGTGTCAAAGCGTTTTGTTAATAGTCACCTTTGTTTCTCTGTTTCCTCAGCTTTCTCTGTTAGAAGAGGCGGGGTTTGGAGGCGTTCTTCTTTATGTTGATCCTTGCGATTTACCAAAGACTCAAAATCTTAGTGATAAAGCATTCATGGTTTCTCTAAACAATGGAGGAGACCCATCGACACCTGGTTATCCCAGTATTGGTAAGTACTATTTGAGTAATGTCCAGTTAAATGGCATTTTAAATTTGATTGTGAATAATATATGAGCTGAAACAATAAGCCCAATCCTGGTCTCAGGTACAAACCCTGAGTAAAAGGGCTTTGCGCAGAGGAGCAATATGGTTGAAGGGATAAATCCACACTCATAACCTAAATGTAGGCTATAGAATTGTGCAACTGGCATCCAAAGGCTACTGCAGACTCTTGGTAGGAGTAGCTGGACTACACACCTCCTTATGCTGGCTTTTGTCAGTACATTCACACTCCACCATTAACCCAAGTAGAGAACCACTGTACAACAATTCTCTTCACAGCTCAATGGTTTGTGTTGAATTGGGCTCTCCAGGATCAGTCCCCCACGAATGAAGCAATTTCCATTACATACTGGGCTTTGTGCTCCCATGTTGTGGATGGTGGGGGCAGTTGGCTATAGATGTAAGTGCAGTGTAATCAGAAAAGGTTATAGCAATGATCTCTTGTACAATCTTTGCCAATAACACTTTCATATGATATATGTTCTACTTGCCTAGTTTCAATTCTGCCAGAACAGACCTGGTCATTTCAGCTAATGAACTGCTTTGTTAAGTGATAGGAAGGCAAATGCATTTTTTTTAAATATCTGAAGTTAAAAAAAGACGTTAATTAAACATAAATGTTAGTGTGCCACAACAATGGTTTTGAAAATAATTTCTACCTGCAGCACATCAGATTATCCGTTCTATTTAAAATCTTTGTTCTAGCAGTTCAGTGAACATGTGTTCTGCCTGTCTGCTATCTATTCAGCTTTACAACCTCCTTTAATATCTAGCTAGATGGAAAAAAGTATTAAGAATCATGCTATGAGTTTGTGACAAGGCCTCATTAAGAATATTTGGTCCAGTTACTAACACAGACATCTAACGGCTGACTCGAATTGGCACTAAATCAGCTGAGCCAATGCTGAGATGTTTCATGACTAGAATGGCAGAAAATAGAAATATTGGCCTAGTTGTCAGAGAAGGGTGTTAACTATTCACATCGTGAAATGCCTTGACAGTTCAATGGGAAAGGAATTGCACATTTTCTCAGTGTCTCACTATACCTGACCTAGACCTGCCATGGGAACTACAGAAGTAAATGTAGCACTCTTCGAGCTTTATTCTTAATCATTTCATGAAGCCCTGTGAAGAGTGGTCTGTTTATCAGTCTGGCTGACTGCATAACATTTTATTTACCCTACATGAAAAATAAACTTAATTACGACTGATACGCTGACAGTAGGATGCGGGTTATTGTCTAAACCTTCTTTGTTGTTTTGCTGACAGTTACACTAAATGCTCTTTTGGGTTGTGTAGATTCCAATCTCTAGTTTCAGGGGGGAAATACAAGAAAAAAAGCTGATAACCTTGACAGAGGAACAGAGAGAATTAAGTAGGTTGATGGTTTGTGCTAGAACCTTAATGTATCTTGCACCTGTTTTAAAGTCTCTAAACGTCATTCAACAGGCTATCATGTGTCTAAAGTATTTGTGATAATCTGGATGCAATGATGCACTGAAGGGATTCTGAGGAGAACTCCTGGGATCCTCTTGTTAAAGCTGTGTCACCAAGTGGTGGAGCAAGTTGGAATGATTTCTCTGTCTCTGATGGTTTTCACACTTCTCTGAAGGCCAATAAATCACCCTGGCCAGAGTTAACTTGTGTTTGGGCTGTATACAAATAAGTCTGAAAAGCAAACGTTTTACCTTTGTGATATCACATGGCAGGTATTTAAAAAAAAAATCTTGGGGACAAATACTCAGGGTTGTCCAGATGCTTATCCCTCTTCCCTGCAAGCACATATCCCCCTGGTCAATTGAGTTTATCACAGACTACAGGTGGGGATTTTTGTGGAATCCCATGCTTAAAATATTGGCAGTACATCGTTGTCTGGAGGATACCATCTGCACTTTACACTCTCCCCTTGGCAATGGATAAACTGTTACCATTACTGTCTTGGGATAAGTGTAATCCATAACACACATGAGATAGATCAGAAAAGGAATGGTCTTTGATGAAAACATCAAAATCTGTAAAGGAAAAAGAGGATGGGGATTTTAATTTAATTTGTCATTGAAAATTGGTGAATCTTACAACACACTTTATCTTGTTTTAGTAGGAAACCTGTAGACCCATGAGTGATCCAAAGGTAATAATTTTTTAAGCAATCTTTGCACGTAACACCCGTCACTGTACTAACTGACATTGGTGCAAAGTTAATAAATGTCCTAGTAAGATCTACATAATATGTACAGTGAGCAGATACTCAGCTTCTTTCTGTTTATAGTGAATCTTCTTTTCTTACCCCCCAAATAAATTTCTCCATGGCCTCTAAATTAGAGCTGAATTAATATTTGTTTTTTTTAAATTAATATTATTGTTTTTTTATTTTATTTTATTTAGAGGCTGAACTGGCAAAAAATGGTGTGTTTTAAATTGAAAGTGGATTTTCTTATTTGTTTGTTGTTGTTTTTTGCCAAAAGGATCAAATGAAACATTTTGTTCAATCCAAAAATATATTTTTTTTTCATTTGAGATCATATTTGGGGATTTCCCAACTCTCTCCCATTGTGTGTGTATGTGTGGTTTTAGAAAATATTTGCTAAATTTCTAAATGAAATACTGTTTTGAAACAAAAAATTTGAAATATTTTGTTTCAAAATGGCTGAAAGTAATCCTTTTGACCTGTTCTTAAACCAAAACTGCTCACCAAATTTGGACCGAATTTGTGAAAAGTTTGTGTTCCAGAAATACATTTTTGATAGTTTACTATTTGTGGGGAAGAAAGTTGTTCCAGCTCTACCCAGAATAATACAGTGGTTAATTTTTCTTTAGAATCATTTTTTGAAGTCAATTACCACTTTTAATAGGATTTATATAATTGATTATACTAGACTTCTGGGCTCTCAGAAAATTCCAGCTCAAATCCTGCTCTTTTATGGAGATGGAGACAAAATGCAGAGCTTCAGTATGTGGATTAATTTAGGATGTACCAATGACAATATGCTGGGTGAGGGATGAATGTGCCTCTTACCTGTAAGTGGCACAATCCATTTAGCTTCCTGTAAAGGGCAACCAACGCAGCTTGGCAAGGAGTTGTCCAGGTGCTCCTCTATAAAGATAACTACTGCCTTGTTTGCCTCTTTTGGGCCCTTTACTAGGTCCTTCATTTCTAATCTGACATTGTTAATCTTGGTTCTCCTGCTTCTCCACCATGGCAGCCATGGGATAATCCTCTGGGCCTTTGTCAGCCTCTGTCCTCTCTGCCTGATTTTGATTTTCAAGGACAGTCTCTTTCTCTGGAACCTTTCTTCGAGTCTACATTGTGTCACTCTTGAATTGGATGGGTTCAATGCTTGGGACTTGGATTTAAGAATCGGGGGCTAAGGAACCCTGCAGTAGAAGAAACGTGAGATCTAGGGAGCTGAGAGGGCTCTGGGGACATCAATAGACAGGAGGGGGACCAGAGGACCTGCATTACAGAGAAGTATGATGAGTTTCCCTTCTCATTTTTTGCATTTTGACTTTTTGAATGCTGTACTTTCTCTTGCCCAGCTTGCTATGCCAGAGATATGTTTGGTTTTGCTATTGCTGTACTTCAGAGTCATTTCAAGCCAAATCTGTCTTCAGACAGAAAAATGGCTCAGTAAACGAAGATACGGACAGAACCTATTTGTCAATTTTAGTATGTAAATAGTAAAGTGTCCTCGGTATGAGCAGTAAGAACCCTGTGCCTGAGATAAGGCACTCAGTAATAGAATTCCTATCTATGCAGTGGAGGAATGGAAATTATATCATGAAGAATCCTTCAGAAAGCATGATAGAAACTGCTATCAGTTTTAAATGCTGAAATATAACAGCTCAGTTGAATAAAATCCTACTATATTGAGAGGAGTATCCAGTGTAATGTTCTTTTCAAGAATTTCACACAAAAATTATAGCACTAAAAAAAATACATATAAACAGTTGAGAAGTGTTCTGTGCTTCAGATCCCGGTGCACAGCTAGTCATCTGAGCCATAAAACAGGTGTGGGAGAGAAATCAGTTATAATAAAGCACAAGGCTTTTTGTGTGTGTCCGTGTCCCCATGCATGTGGGGCTAGACTGTGATGTAGACGACTCTGTGAAGAGATGTAAGGGGAATTAATACTCACCACCTCTTATACTCTGCATGAATAGAGCTGGCCAGACACTTTAACTCCTGTTCCATGGGTAACACTGTCATAAATATAAAGGGAAGGGTAAATCCCTTTAAAATCCCTCCTGGCCAGAGGAAAACTCCTCTCACCTGTAAAGGGTTAAGAAGCTAAAGGTAACCTCGCTGGCACCTGACCAAAATGACCAATGAGGAGACAAGATACTTTCAAAAGCTGGGAGGAGGGAGAGAAACAAAGGGTCTGTGGGTCTGTCTATATGCTGCTTTTTGTCGGGGATAGACCAGGAATGGAGTCTTAGAACTTTTAGTAAGTAATCTAGCTAGGTACATGTTAGATTATGATTTCTTTAAATGGCTGAGAAAAGAATTGTGCTGAATAGAATAACTATTTCTGTCTGTGTATCTTTTTTGTAACTTAAGGTTTTGCCTAGAGGGATTCTCTATGTTTGGAATCTAATTGCCCTGTAAGGTATTTACCATCCTGATCTTACAGAGGTGACCCTTTTCTTTTTACTGTTTCTTCTATTAAAATGTTTCTTTTCAAGAACTGAATGCTTTTTTTTCTGTTGTTCTTAAGATCCAAGGGTCTGGGTCTGTAGTCACCTAGGCAAATTGGTGAGGCTTTTTAGCAAACCTTGTCCAGGAAGCAGGGTGCAAGGTTTTGGAAGTATTTGGGGGGAAAGATGTTTCCAAACAGCTCTTCCCCAGTAACCAGTATTTGTTTGGTGGTGGTAGCGGCCAATCCAAGGACAAAGGGTGGAATATTTTGTACCTTGGGGAAGTTTTGACCTAAGCTGGTAAAGATAAGC